CATAATTTTTAAATATATATAGGAATGTGTTAAATTGCATAAATGATTTCTGGATAACATAACAAGATAACAATGATAATTCCAGTGATATATATACTATTTTATATTGGATACAGAGTTCATATTCCACTACTGTATCATGATCCCTTTAGTTATACCAAATATGTGGGTGAGACACCAAGGCACCTTGTATTTACCCCAAAAATAATGTGATGAGCATTACATATCAGTATCTGAATGTTATGAAATCAATGAGTATCAACATATTGATGCAGAGTTTAATAGTTATTTAAAATAAAAATTCCAAAAATACAATACATGAAAAAAATTAACTTATAAACAAGATTGCGGTTGTAATAATTGATAAAGACATGTACAACAGGCATTTAATAATAATAAAATCAAACATAAATGCAACACCAATAATATTTTCAACAATATTTACTTCCAAACAAACATTCTTAAAATGTAATGAATATGAGCATGTTCCTCATGAACGATCCAACCTATTATAAGGCAGGACCTTTCCTTCATGCAACATGTTTAATATGTGATTATTTGTGTGAATATCGATTGCAGAAATTGTTATTTGGTATGATAAGCTAGTATTTGAGACTTGTTCATTGACACGTGTTTAGTCTACCTTTGCCTACAGTTTGTTTCAACATATTTGTATTGTACGGACTGTAAAACAATGATTACTCGTGATACTTTGAGATATTTTCTGTCAAAAGAAAGCGTTGCCAAAAAGACCGGAATACCAGTTTGGTAGTTAGCTGTGTTTATACAGCGAATAAGGCCTATATTTGTGTGTCTCAGTGTTTATACAGCGAATAAGGCCTATATTTGTGTGTATCAGTACGCATAGAGTCCATTTCTGTGTGACACAGTCCAAGGCTCGGCCGTGTAGGTCTCCCCGAGGCAAGAGCAAAGTAAAGTAACATGAAATGAAATGGATTGGATTTGATTTGTTTCGTTTTGTCTTGTTTTTTGATTTGACTCTGTCTTTTTAATTTGGTTTGTTGTTGTTTGTTGTGTTTTTTGTTGTTGTGTCCCCCTCCCCTCCCTCCCCCCTGTTGGTTGTTATTGGTGTTGGTGTATGTTTCTTGTTCCTTGGATGTTTTGTTGTTGTTTTGGTGTGTGTGTGCCTTTCTTTCTTTGTCTGTCTGTCTTTGTGTCGCTCGTGTAATCAATCCTACAGACTGATAGCTGGTTATTAGGTAAGTGACAGACTGACTGACTACATTTTTGTTGTGTTTGTTGTTTGGTCCTTGTGTATGATTATGCTGTGGTGTGGTGTGGTCTGCTCTGCTCTGCTCTGCTGTGTTCATGCTTGATACAAGTAGTTGTTTCTTTTGTCTTTGTCTTTGGTTTGGTTTGTGTGTGAGATGTGTATTGAGTTTGATTCTGTTTGTTAATAGTGATTGATTGAGTGTGACTGAATGAATGGTTTGAATGTGTGTGTTTTGACAAAGCTCTGATATTCTTTCACTTATATTCCATAAACGTTTATATAAGACTGAAAGACTCACAATACTTGAGTTATTCATAATTTGTTGGTTGCTTGCTTTGTGACTTCGTTCATGCATATATGTATGACTAAGTAACACAACTAACGAACATACTAGTAATTTAAAGAAAACAAACTTGTGCATCCCCAATATGATGCTCACTTCATCTGCAACATTGACGCTACTATTGATTCTTCAATATTGTAAGTCAAGCTATCCTTGTAGTTAATTAGTAATTAACACAAATCCACCACCCCTCGTACACACAAGTATATAACGCTCAATAAATATACACAAACAAACTACATTTATATATCGAGTCGTGTGGCCCAAAAATGATTGATATGACTTGCATAATAGACACCCACTCATAATTAACCGTCAACATAAGAGTGTGTTAAAAAAAAAAAAAAAATAATAGTCACCCCTTACAACATGGATCTATTTCACTCTCTGATACCCAAACAAGTTGCCATAAACCTATCATTGCATTGATTCGATCCATGTATGAATGTATGGTAAACTCTGCCATTCTTTATATGTAGGAAAATGATTTTTGCCCAGAAACATGCTCCCTCTAACGACGACAAGCCCAAAAGCTAACTAAATAAATCAAACACTTAAAAAAAATACAAGCGAGAGCCAAATAGTCAGTCAACGATGATATCTCTGTAATATTTTTAGGACCTAAGATAGGTCCAAGGTTTTTGGTGGTAATGGTTGTCGTTTGGTGGTTGACGTTTTCGATCTTGTTGAAAACGTTTAACCTCCGAAACCGTACAGGGTGCGTCCCTGGCGCTTGAGAGCGTAGACGACGTCCATGGCGGTGACGGTCTTCCTCTTGGCGTGCTCGGTGTATGTGACGGCGTCACGGATCACGTTCTCGAGGAATACCTTGAGGACACACGGGTTTCTTCGTAGATGAGACCAGAGATACGCTTGACACCTCCACGACGGGCAAGACGACGGATGGCAGGCTTGGTGATACCCTGGATGTTATCACGCAACACCTTGCGATGACGCTTGGCGCCCCCCTTTCCGAGACCCTTTCCGCCCTTTCCACGTCCAGTCATGGTAGCGACTTGTCTTGCTGCGAGTAAACGAGAAGATGATCCGCCCTGGCAAACCCTAGCAATGGTACCTGTTCCCTACCCTCGCGTAGCGCTCAGGCTTGCCGCATCAAGCGGCCGCTCATCTTAACCGCCCGCTCTAAGCAAATAAACTTGTTTACACCTTCCAATCCATCAAAAGTCACCTGATCCATTACACGCATATGTTTGCAATCACCTTGTTGATGACATCCTGTATTAATTGTCCCATTTCTCATCAAGGATTTCCTTTGATCACAGGTAAAGTTGGCCAGGTCTCTGGTCCTGCTTACACCGAGGAAATGGGCGGCGCCAACGCACACTGTGCCAGCCACACACTTCTCCGCACGGCCAAGCCCGCTCTGGTATAAATTCAGCTCTTGAAAAGCCGGCCAGACTGTTTCCTATCTGTACAGATACAAACAATCATCGCAATGGCTCGTACCAAGCAGACTGCCCGCAAGTCTACCGGAGGCAAGGCCCCCGCAAGCAGCTGGCCACCAAGGCAGCACGTAAGTCTGCCCCTGCTACCGGAGGTGTCAAGAAGCCCCATCGTTACAGGCCTGGTACTGTTGCCCTTCGTGAGATCCGTCGTTACCAGAAGAGCACTGAGCTCCTCATCCGCAAGCTGCCCTTCCAGCGCCTCGTCCGTGAGATTGCCCAGGACTTCAAGACTGACCTCCGCTTCCAGTCCTCTGCTGTCATGGCTCTGCAGGAAGCCTCCGAGGCTTACCTGGTCGGCCTCTTCGAGGACACCAACCTGTGCGCCATCCATGCCAAGCGTGTAACCATTATGCCCAAGGATATCCAACTTGCTCGCCGTATCCGCGGAGAGCGCGCCTAAGATTTTGGTTGCTAGCTTGCTTGCATACATCAAAATCATCCTCCTCGGCCCTTTTCAGGGCCTAAACTAATCAATATTGAGATGAAAGCATGACATGCTTCCTTTTTTATTATTTTCTTGTTTGCTTTAGTTTTTGATGTCAAATGTAACCAGCAATGACGATTATAATCAATGACATTGCATAGATAGATAGATAAATAGGTATGCAACTAGTAAGTAAGGTAAGGCACGAAGCCATGCATGACTGACTTTCAACATGTTGTCAACGCACTTGATTTCCTTATCGTATACGTTTCGGTATGAGTACTATGCCAAATATTAAATACTACAACAATATACATTGTAATATTTGTCGAGCGACCGACGGCAAACAGACATACAGACACACACTGTCTTAAACATAAGTCATTACTAAATATAATAATAATGTTATATAACATTGAAGATCGAATGACACATGCTGTTTATATATATTATAAATCAATATAATGTCTTGACAATTATACAAATCTATCTATCTATATAATACACACACACACACCTACAACATAGACATATATACGTACATAATATATGAAATTATATATATATATATATATATATATATATATATATATATATATATATATATATATATATATATTATATATCTGTATACATATACACATGTATGTCTAATATAAATCTATTCACCCACTCTCTGTCTCTTACATTAATACATACCCTATTCATTGATATGCCATGCATAATGCATGTGTTATATTTGTAATTATGGAAGCCATATATGTTACTATGATATACAGGCATATATACTTTCAACATATATTTCTATACATCTATATATATATTCACACAGCTTTCATCTCTCTCTCTCGTATATCACACACACACTTCCTCTATCCTTAATCATACATACATACAGACAGACAGACAGACAGACAGACAGACACACAGACAAACACACACACACACACACACTTCAGTAAAAACGATTAAAATGAATCCCTTACTCGAAATCGAACGATTCAAACGAACATTACATTGATATATATGTTGATATTACTGTACTTTGAAAGAATGCACAAGGCAAATTGGTTAATGTCATTTCTATCTACTTTTGCATGTTCTGTGGCTCCTAAAGGAGCCGATGTTGTTGTAGGAGACCGGAGAAACCGAGCAACCAAGCAATTTACTTAGAGGAAGTGTACTTGGTGACGGCCTTGGTGCCCTCGCTGACAGCGTGCTTGGCCAGTTCACCGGGGAGCAGAAGCCTGACGGCGGTCTGAATCTCCCCGGCTGGTGATGGTGGAACGCTTGTTGTAGTGGGCAAGGCGGGAAGCCTCAGCGGCAATGCGCTCAAAAATGTCATTCACGAAAGAATTCATGATGGACATGGCCTTGGAGGAGATACCGGTGTCAGGGTGGACCTGCTTCAACACCTTGTAGATGTAGATGCTGTAGCTCTCCTTCCTCCTGCGCTTCTTCTTCTTATCACCCTTGGTGATAGACTTTTGGGCCTTACCGGCCTTCTTGGCAGCCTTTCCGGAAGTCTTGGGTGGCATGATTGACAACACTCGCAAGAGGTATTGCTATAAACTCCAAACTATGATTTTTCCTTTTATAGTGCACCACCAGCGCCAGCCTCGGCTGGCCAAGGAAAGCGTGGGCCACGCTATTGGCTCAATCCCCGGCCATCCCGCATTGCCACATGTCCCAATGAGACCGTTTCACCTGGAGCCACCTATAAATACCAAGCTTTGCCCGTCGCAACTATGATTTTTGATTCTTTTGAGCAAAGTCATAGCAAACTATCAACATGTCTGGTCGTGGTAAGGGCGGTAAGGTAAAGGGCAAGTCAAAGTCCCGCTCAAGCAGGGCCGGCCTTCAGTTCCCCGTCGGTAGGATTCACCGCCTTCTGCGTAAGGGCAACTATGCTGAACGTGTAGGTGCTGGTGCCCCTGTGTACCTCGCTGCCGTTATGGAGTATTTGGCTGCTGAAGTCCTCGAGTTGGCAGGTAATGCCGCCCGTGACAACAAGAAGACCCGTATCATCCCCCGTCACTTGCAGCTGGCCATCCGTAACGACGAAGAGCTCAACAAGCTCCTCTCTGGCGTTACCATCGCCCAGGGTGGTGTCCTGCCCAACATCCAGGCTGTGCTCCTCCCCAAGAAGACCGAGAAGAAGTAAATACTTTCCGTATTACCTCTTTTCAACTACATCGGCTCCTTTTGGAGCCACAAAGACTAAATAAGAGAAATATCTGACCAAACCAATAAATATTCCTGTTATGTTATCTAGACTAGCAATAATGGAACTCACAATAAAATACCCACTGTCGATACAATAATGTAGTGAACGCTATCACTCATACATTGAAACTGAGCAAAATTGCAACCAAACAATACAATACAGGAAACCCATTTCATATACAACTCCCTTGCACTTCGAAACGTATGTATGTATAAACAAACATATGCAATATGTGTGTGAGTGCGCGTGCGTTTGCGTTAGTATAGAAATACTACTAAATAATAGTGACTAAATAAAAAGAAATCTCGTGTAATATATATATATTATATATATATATTACATACATTACATACATATATAATACACACATATAGTATATAATATACATGCATATATAAAACATAAATGTATGTATGTATATGATATTTATGTGTTTTATATATGCATGTATATCTATATATATCTATATCTATATCTATATATATATATTCATATCTATATATATCTATATATATATATATATATATATATATATATATATATATATATATATATATATATATATATAATATATATATATATATATATATATATATATATATATATATATATATATATATATATATATATATATATATGTGTGTGTATTATATAACTATGTATATATCTACTATGTATGTGCGTTACATATATATCATATACATACATACATATAGAACACACATATATATATAGTATATATATACATATATAATACACACACACATTATTTATATATATATATATATATATATATATATATATATATATATATATATATATATATATATATGTGTGTGTGTGTGTGTGTGTGTGTGTGTGTGTGTATTATATATGTATATATATATACTATATATGTGTGTTCTATATGTATGTATGTATATGATATATATGTAACACACATACATAGTAGATATATACATAGTTATATAATACACACATATATAGTATATATATACATATATAATACACATATATAGTATATATAACACATACGTATGTATGTACATAAATATATATTGTACATGTACGTGTACATATAAATAAAATAAATAAATAATAAATGGTTGCGTCAGAAAGTAATTCCTAATTAATATAAATATTTATTGTTATCACTAACCTTGATCATCATGGGAAATATGCACGCGTTCGTTTGTCTTGACCATGGCTGACCTCGTGTTTAGGAATGTCCGGTAAAGCGAACGGTGGCTAGGCTAGGGCGTACGAGTTCGTTCGACGTGACCGGGTGTGACCTGAAGTGTAGGAATAATGTTAGATTGAATGTTGCGTATGATTTGTTTTCCCCAATTAATATAATGAATCAAAACGGTAATGAAAATGCGTTCATCATTCAAATCAAAATGTAGAATATAAATAGGAGACTGTATATATTTATATTACATCACTTTCGAATCTCTATATATCATGATGTATGCATGCAGCTATATATACACATATATGTTACTAAAATGATAAATTATTTACTTATGTTATATATGTATTTATGTACCTAGGTATGTATGTGTGCAGGTGCATATGCATGTGCATGTATAAAGCATGTACGTGTATCTTGTGTACATAAATATATATATGAAGAAAAGACATGAGCGTTATGCATAATCTAAATATGACAATATCCTAGAAATGCATACCAGAAATATGACATATATGAAATACAATATTATATAGACACGCAATTATGACTATATTGTACATAAATAACACTGACTCGACGTCTTACTCTGTAAAAACAAGTAAAAGTGACGAGCATCCATCCAAAAACTGCAACATGATTGATCATTAACAAAGACAGAAGATAGAATGAAAATAATAAACAAATTGTAACGAATAATCAAACTTGGTTATGTTTTGTTATTTCATTTGTTCTTATGTATGCGCAGCAGTAGCAAAGTCACCCACCCCTGAAATATTGTTTGGAATGAAAAATAAAATCACAATACAAAAACAAGATTTGTGTGGTTCTATCCATTAATATGGCGGCAGTTCCGTGCAAACATGTCCGTTCAACTGACTAGGTAAGATTGCTAACAAATGTATACAAAACGTGCACCACTATGAAAACAAAACACATGTTATTATATACTGAAAGCGCTTTGCAAGTGTCCCACCGCACTGCCCACGTGTTCACGTGAAAAAAGATGAAGAATAAATGACAAGTCTGACGTTCCGGGATAGGAGGAGGGCACGCGACCGATAGTATTGGAGGGGGAGAGTGGGGGGTAAAGTGAATTACAAAAACCCATAAAAGCGTTTATACAATGACTGACTAAGTATACAATGGGTATGACCTTTTATATAATAACAAATATTAGGTATAGATTGATAAATAACTATATATTAAAATCTCAATAAAAATATCCTTTACTCACCCCTATGCGCATATTAAAAACAGTTGTTTGTAAGCCGTATTATAATAACATACTACGAAATAAAAAACGATTTGTCTCATTCAAAGATGCGATGAACATTTGTAACCATTTATCATGAACACCAAATAGAAATATCATTAATGTTGTTACTTTGAATCGTACTGCGTAGGCCTATGTACAAGTGTATATATATATATATATATATATATATATATATATATATTTCCTTTCATATATATAAAAATTAATCGTCACAGCAAAATTGTCAAAGAGTAATATATGTATTTTTATTATAATTTATTAATCACAAGACAATAGCAAGTATATTTTGTATCGAAACAAATATATTGCGTTCGTCTTTGCGGCATAACATGACAATCAATCACCCAGTACATGAAAAAAAAAAAAAAACAACAACACTTGTACGTAATAAGCTATGTGTAATAATCGATAAATAACAAAGAGATATAACGATTAAAAATTATACAAATATATATCTATATAATATAAAAAAAAACATATAAAAATATAACAATAAATAATAAAAATAATATTATTAACTATGATACAATAATACAGTAATTTATAACATGTACTAACCTTAAAAATTAAGTCCTTCCAGTGCTTCCTTCGAAATTCAACAAAATCGTCCGTGAAATGCGTTGTTATATATAAGTCCTTGATGTATTTTCATTTTGCCGTCACTGTGTCATAACAAACACACAAAAGAGCCTAATTCAAGTTATTCACAATACACACACAAAAATAATGCAAACAGTCTGTATCAGAAGCACA